CCTACGGAACTAATTGGTCCTGACAGTGTCTTTCACTGACCTCTCGTGTGGTACTACTTGTTTTCGTCTAACGACTAATATCTTTCTATCTCAACTTTCGTGCCGCTTATGGTTGTGCTTCAGCTGTGAGTGCAAGGAACGCATTGCAGGAGTAGCTTCCGCGATAACGTTATGGGCAGCGAAATGGGCGGAGACTGACAGGCATCAAGCTTTCCTCCTTGACGCGCTCTCCTTTACCGCATTTGGATGAGGGCCACACCGGTGAGGAAAACGCAGTGGTTGCGAGTCCCCGCCCATTTCTACAGTTGTTAGTCATCGCGGAATGCTCCTTGGAATGTTTTCAGCCCAAGGGCATGAGCTTTGAACGAAAGTACGTGATGCCTTGATTTCAATATTCCTGAGCTTCATTGCAAATCATTCGTAGCAAACATTGATATCGTAGCTTATTTAAGTTCGATTGGAGTAGTAAAATAGACTTTGGAGTAGACGTTGAGTTGATTGTAGACTTCTGACGCAATATAGTTCCACTGAGAACGGGTCACGAGTAACGATGTTTTCACACGAAGAACTCCATTCTATAAATATTCCATGGTACACATGTTGTACAATAATAGTACAGTACTTCATAGTACAGTGTGGTTTTACACTGGTTAAACTACCAAATATTTGCTGCAGTGATTTGTTGGCTGAAAAGGAAAAGGGGTGAAGTCATGTTAGCTGCGGATGCTGGAGCAGGTGTGTGCGAGGGGGGGGGGGAGGGAAGGGCTGGGTTTAGCGCGGTGCCAACCCATTCCCCACAGATTTGTCGCTTACCCGCTTCAGCAGCTGGTGGAAAACTGGCTGTAGCTGCGAAACTCCACAGAATGAAAATGTATGGTTTTGAAGAAAGCCTAAATGAGGCTGAACAGGCACGTTTGTTCAGCTGCTCCGAATATAAAGGTCGCTTACAAAGTAAAAGTTCCGACCCTACTCTGATAGTAGGATCTGGCGTTGGCCTAGAACAGTGCCTTTTTTCAAGAGGCTGTGGGTATGCAGGCAGTTTCGCAGAGCAAAAAGAGGCTTTTCTAGGTACTCAACTCCTGCCGAGTCTCCTGAGTTTGTGACCAGTATACTTCTTCAGTCTAGAATTCAACAGCTGCCACGGCGCTCGCAACTACGCCCTTAGAAACGCCCCTTTTGCCCTCAGATATGGACTGCACATGTCCGAAAAAAGCGAAGTGATAGTGCAGCACATGTATTAGGTTGTCCGGAAAGTTCTGCACGTTTTGTGTTACTATTTTTTGAACATTCATTGCTGATTAAAAACTCATTCTCCCTTGCGTCTCAGTAGTACATCCTGAAGAGAATTCTTTGCGCTATCTGATGGTATAACTGCCGTTTCACCATTGCTTGATGAACCCCTTTTTTTCAAGATTTTTTCAAGCATGTGAAAAGAGCACTTCGGACGATTTTTTTCTTCGACTATAAATTGGGGCAATCCGCAATCGAAACAGCTCAACAAATTAACCAGATAACTTCGTCGGTT